GCAGCATTAAAATTATTATCATATTTTATAAGCCTAAGAAGTGTTGCTACTCTGAGAAGTATATGAATCATGAAAAGGAATGTGAAACCATTTCTCATAGAAATTGGGTCAGAAAACTAATGCAATCAGTTTTTTCAGGCAAATGTACAAATTAAATGAAAAATATGCAAGTAGGTACATTAAATATATGTGTTTGAAATGCAACTTTAAATTCTCACCACAAATTTTCACTTTCCTTAAGAAAAAAAAAACATTTAATTTCAACTTAATAACATTATACTTGGAGAAGGGGAGAGAATCAATCCAAAAATATATATTTTTTGTTTTATTAAAAACAAAAGGCAAAACTCACATGCAAAATAGGATCCTTAGTTTTCAACTACCAAATATATTTTAAAAGTAAACTACATAAGGGGTTGAATTCTCTTGAGTGGACAAATAGCCTTTATCATTATTTCAATTTGACAGGACCAACCCGATTAGGAAACTCTCCATTATTTGCAAAACAAAAAAGCCATCCTAACAGCCACATAATACGCAAACTGCATTTGATTTAAAAGGTCATCTGAATCAGCTGAGTGACTTAGCAACAGTGTTTGGAGTTGCTGAGAGACCTAAGATGCACATGGACTTGAATTTCTTCATCCTAGACACGTGAAAGCTAAACCAGTCACTGGGAAATTTACAAAGAAAAAGAAAAGTAATAATAGCTTTCATGAGAAAATCTAATTGCCTGGATAAAATTTCCAACAGTGAGCCTCACTTAATTGCTGGGAACAATTAATTTGCCTGAAAAATTATGATAATCAGCTTCTTAGGAATTCCATTTCTGATTTATATTTAAATACCTAAGAATAACCATTGGGATAACATAATTTCTTACCAATTAAGGATGGGGGGAAAATTAATACTTACAACAAAACCAATATGGAAAAAACTGCTAAAGTTAAACCATTAATAGCTACTATTTCTTGAGTCTTCGTTCATTCAGCAAATGTTTATGGAGTGTCTACTCTGTGGCAGGCACTGACTGGGCACAGGGAATTCAGTGAAAGACAAAAATATCTACCCTCATAGTGCCCCTTTCCATAACAGTCTACCTACTCCCTGAAATAAACCTGTCAGGAAGTCACTATCTATATATAAAAAAGTCTAATATGCTAAGTGTCTGACTGACCGGTCGACCGCTCAACCAGTCACTATGACATGCACTGACTACCAGGGGCAGAGGCTACAACCAGTAAGTTAGCTTGCTGCTGGGGTCCAGCTGATGAGCACTGGGAGAGATGGGTTGGACACACCCTGGAGCCCTCCCGAGGTCCCTCCCTGGCCTCCAAAATATTTCTTCTAATTAATTTCCTTTCAATGTGCATGAATTCGTGCACCAGGCCTCTAGTTTTCTAATAATATAAATTGGCAATCTGCCTGAGGCTACACAGCTAACTTGGTGAAAAAGGAAAAACAGCACCTAGATCTCTCTGACTTCAAAGCCCAAGCTCTTAACCTTCAAATCATCAATCCAACAAATACAGACTGAACTTTCTAATTAGAAAAGCAGTCATGCTTGGATTTGTGTGAGGCAACCTTAGGAGAAAAGCATGAACATAAAGATATTTTCACATGGTTCCTTGGACATTTTCTCCACTGAGCCAAACCAGTTTCGGCTTAGACATTTTCTCACTCATCAACCAGAAATGTTTTCTAGCTGGTAGCCACTAAGTACACAGAACAGGGACACTCGAGGTGCTCCTTTACTTTGGGAATATGCCTCCTTCAGAAAAACAGGGGAATTCTGAATTTTTAAATCACTTAAATTTTTTGCTTTGAATTTTTCACCTAGAACATATGGAAAAATATTTCTTTTAAAAGTAGACTTGCCATGGCAGAATGCTATACCAGCATTATCACACAGTCCTGCCTTTAAACTTGCACAAGCCTCTGAAGCCTTCCTCAGTTTCGTATTCCATTCCTCATCCTCATCAATACACTTATTGCACATTCATTATGTGCCAGTCCCTGTTGCAGGTGCTAAAGGCACAGAGATGATCAAGACAGTCTCTGCCATTAAGAAGTTCACAATCTCATGGGGCAGAAAGTCTGTTTTTATACTGAACTGTTAGAAAGTCCTTTCTTTTTTTTTCTTTTTTCTTTTTTTTAATATATTTTATTGATTTTTCACAGAGAGGAAGAGAGAGGGATAGAGAGTTAGAAACATCGATGAGAGAGAATCATCGATCAGCTGCCTCTTGCACACCCCCTACTGGGGATGTGCCCACAACCAAGGTACATGCCCTCAACCAGAATCGAACCCGGGACCTTTCAGTCCGCAGGCCGACGCTCTATCCACTGAGCCAAACTGGTCCCGGCAGAAAGTCCTTTCTTATACTGAACTAAAAGTTTTATAATTTCCACCTATGTGTTTCAATTCTTTCCCCCAAATTTTTCTCATAAAAAACCTATCTCCCTCCCTATTATGATGATGATTGTTATTTTGATGGCCTGAAGAAAATAATACAACAGGACAAATGGATAACTAAAATACATATCTATAATGATTGAATCCAATAAAAAAAAAAAAGGACAATGTATTTAACCAAAACACATATATTAAAATGTTCATACAGACTCCACTTTATAATTCAACTTGAACTTCAGCTTTATAAGGTCAAAACAAGGAAGGGTACCTTGGAATGTTAGCATGCAAGAGAAATCCATATAAATACTACACAGAGTAAACAAAAAATTTCTTCTAAAGAAAAACAAAAAATTGACAAAGTACTTTCTCCTCTGAGGAAGAATGATAAGCTTGGAGACCCTAGGCTTATACTTAAACTTTCTTCAGTCCTCTCTGTCCTTTTACATTTACCTAATTCCAAACACCCAAATTTGGCACCATTTCCTTAAATTCCCTAAAAAGATTTATTTGTCCAACTGTCACTTTTATAAGGCTGAGCTGAAGACTATAGCTATGAAGAATCCTATTGAGCACAAGGAACAAATCTTAATGAAATTAAACAAAAAGAATCTTTAAGTTTTCCATTAAAGTGTTTCACCTTTTATTTTGGGTAGGTACCCTACTGGATCAGAAAATATCATCAACCCAATAAACTAGATTGCAAAGTGAGCGGTGCTATGGGCCTAAACCCAAGGAGTGATCCTTTGATCAAAACATCACTCCTTACTTCTAAAAGCTATTGAGCATGTCCTGAAGATCAAATTTAACTTTTAAAAAAAATACATTTTATTGATTTTTTTACAGAGAGGAAGGGAGATAGAGAGTTAGAAACACCGATGAGAGAGTCATCGATCAGCTGCCTCTTGCACGCCCTACTAGGGATGTGCCCGCAACCAAGGTACATGCCCTTGACCGGAATCGAACCCAAGACCCTTCAGTCCGCAGGCTGATGCTCTATTCACTGAGCCAAACCGATTTCGGCCAAATAGCTCTTATTTATAAACATTTGTAAAAGAATAACATTTACAATTTATACAATAGCTCCAGGTTAAGAGATGTGTATGGCTATCTCTTTACTATTTCCATACAGATTTGTCAGATATTAAAAATAGTTGCTATTTTTAATATCTGACAACCTGATATACAAGCCAAAACATGGAAATTTTGAAGTGGCAATCAGATACACTTAGTCTACTCAAATAACTCTGATGTGAAACAATACCATATATGTCACTATAAGAGCAGTACAATGTAGAAGAACAAACAGGATTTTTGTGGTCAAACAGACCAAGGTTGAAATCTGGTTTTATTAGTAACTAAAATAAAGCTGAATGAAATTTGGCAAGTGACTGAACACAGTGACCCTCACTTCCTCCTCAGGAAAAAGGAACTATAAAAACTACTTTTCAGGATTATTGTAAGGGTTCAATTTTTGGTAATTTATTTAAAATTCCTCATATAGTGCCTGGAACAGAACAGATTGGGTAAACTTCAAAAGTATTTGTTGAATAGATACTAAAAAAGTTTTATTAGCGTGAATAACAATAGTAACAAAAGGCAAATTGTGAACAAATGATGCTTCATTTTGTGCTGAGGAATTAAAAAATATATATTTTCATGCCCTAGCTCAGTGATTGACAAACTGTGGCTCTTGAGCCACATGTGGCTCTTTGGCCTCTTGAGTGTGGCTCTTCCACAAAATACCACATGCGGACGCGCGTGTACAATGCGATTGAAATTTCGTGGCCCATGCGCAGAAGTTGGTTTTCAGCTCTCAAAATAAATTTCAATCGTTGTACTGTTGATATTTGGCTCTGTTGACTAATGAGTTTGTCGACCACTGCCTAGCTGGTTTGGCTCAGTGGATAGAGCATCAGCCTGTGGACTGAAGGGTCCTAGGTTGATTCCAGTCAAGGGCACATGTTTGGGTTGTGGGCTCGAATCCCATTAGGGAGTGTGCAGGAGGCAGCCAATCGATGATTCTCTCTTATCATTGATGTTTCTATCTCTCTCTCTCCCTCTCCCTTCCTCTCTGAAATCAATAAAAATATATGTTAAAAAAATTTTTTTTTCATTTTGTTGCTGTGCTGTTTTTAAGCCTTTAACAATTGTGGTAATAGTGTAAAATCATATCTCTACTCTGCACCCTCTTTCTGTCTTCTTCTTCTAAATCATATCTCTACTCCACATCCTCTTTCTGTCTTTTTCTTCCTCTTTCCTTTCCTCTTCCCCTTTCTTCCCCCTCTCCCTCCCTCAGCCCTTCCTCCTCCCTCTCCTTCCTCTCCCTCCTCTTCTTTTTCTCCTCCTTCTTCTTCTTTTAGGGAATTTTTATAAGAGTTTATTTGATCCAAACTGATGACATGCCTGGAAGTAAGATCTCAAATGCTTCCAGCATCCTCTATCTTTCAAGTAATAGGAAAACAGAATACCATTGGTAGTATTCTATATTATTTCATTGTCCAACATTTTTCCTGGTTCTATTTTCTCAGCTATTCTACAAATGTCTCCAACAACAAAGTTTTTCTTTGGAACAGCAATAACTCACCTGAAAATGATGTTCGTGTGGGAACTGATGTCTTTGCCTCCATACATAGAAGTGATCCAGGAGGGCCTTGGTTTCACACCCCACTGTTTAAAACAATCATCTGAAAATGTCTTCAAGTCCCACAAAAAAGGTTCAAACATGTCATCAACACCATTGGTACAAAAGGGCATGACCATTTCTGTGCAAGCCTAAAAAAACAATCCATAAGAGTCTAGTGAAAAAATAAGGCACAAAGAAGTTAAATAAATTGTCCAAAGTCATACACTAATAAGCAACAGAGTTTGAATTCAGGCAGTCTGGCTTCAGAGTTCCTGCTCTTTACCTCTGTAACATACCACCGCTCATTGTTCCTTGAAAGGCTCAGATGAGAAATCACAGAAGTTAGAGCTATATGTATATTCCTTCTTTGTAAACTGTTTTCTTTCACATTTATTACCATACTAGAGGCCTGGTGCATGAAATTCATGCACGGGGGGAGGGGGGTCTGAACCCAGCCTGTACCCTCTCCAATTCAGGACTCCTGGGGGGATGTCAGACTGCCTCTTGCATTCAGGGACCGCTGGCTCCTAATTGCTCACCTATCTGCCTGCCTGATCACCCCTAACCCCTCTGTCTGCCTGCCTGATAGCCCTTAATTGCTCCCCTACTGGCCTGATCATCCCTAACTGATTCCCCTAACCACCTCCATCTCACCCCTCACTCAGGACCCAGGATTCCCTCCTCTGGCCAGTTGCAGGCACCCAGGACCCGGCCAGCTTCTCCCAGGCTGGCTGCAGCTACTGGGGACTGTGGCTGGGTGGCTTTGCCCAGGCCACAGCTGCAGGCACCCAGGACCACAGGGCAGGCAGCTTGCCTTATCCCAGGCTACAGCCCCAGCTGCTGGAACCTAGGACCATGGGGTGTGTGGCTTGTCCCTCTCCTTGGCCGGGCTGCAGGTACAGCACAGCCACTGGTGCTCAGGACTACAGAGTGGGCAGCTTGTCCCTCTCCCAGGCCACAGCCTCAGCCACTGGCGCCTGGGACCATGGGGCAGGCAGTTTGTCCCTCTCTGGGCTGTAGTCTGGCTGGTCCCCATTCCTCTCTTGCGAGCTCATTTGTGCCTAGCTGGTCCTCATTCCTCTCTCATGAGCTCATTTGTGCCTGGCTGATCCCCATTCCTCTCCCCAGTGTTGAGTGTCTGAGCCATTAGGTCAGCATGAGGGCATGAGGGTGTGATGGCCATTTGCATATTAGCTCTTTATTATACAGGATCAAATCTTCAAAACAACTCTGGAAAGAAAATATTCTTATTCTTATTATTCTCACTGTACAGATGAAAGAACAAAATATCAGAAAGAATCAAGTTAGACTCCCCTTCATTTATGTGTCCATAAAATTTTTCCTTTATAGGACTTATCAAAATCTATTATAATATTAATTGTGCTTCTTTTTTAAAAAGCTACATTTGATAGTAAAATCAATCATGTCTTACTTATCTTTGTATCTGTGGAGCCTAGAAGGATGCCTAACCCATGATAAATACTCAGAATATATTTGGCCATGATTAAATACATAAGTGAATGAATAAATGAGGACACTTATCATGGCTTCAGAGAGAGACCACATTGAGATCCAGGTTAGGTGATAAAATCTTGTGAACTCTGTTACAGCACAACCATAGCAATGAAAAGTAAGTTCCACTTGGAGAAATCATAAATACTTACCTGATAGCTCCAACCCAGGGATCCCAGACTGCTAGTTGATGTCTCTGACATATTCAGGCATGTTGCCTGGCCTGAATAATTGTGATATACATTCAGAGCATGGAAAATATTCTGCAGCAACTCTTTATCAGATAAATTGGAATTTTTCAAATACTGGCACACCACCTGTCATTTTAGAGAAATAAAAAGAAGAGTCAGAATATAAATCCTATCTAATAAAAAAGCAATGCAAATTGACCATCACCCCAACTACACCACAAGCCACGTCCACCAGCTAATCAGGAGTGAGTATGCAAATTAATCCAACCAAAATGGCGGTGGCCACAGAGAAAGCAGGAAGCTTGAGTTGCCCCCAGCAATGGAGGAAGTCAAGCTTTCCACCCCCTCCGGCCTGCCTTGGCCTCCATTCAAAGCTAAAAGTTTCAATTATAGAAAATAAATAAATCCCAACAAAAATGGCGGCAGTCACGGAAATGGAAAGAGCAGGAGGCTTGAGTTTTCCCCGGCAATGGAGGAAGCTAAGCTTTCCAACTGCCCTGGCCTGCCTTGGCCTCCGCTCAAGGCTACAAAGTTTCAATTATAGAAGATAAATAAATCCCAACAAAAATGGCTTTGGTCATGGAGCAAGCAAGAGGCTTGGCTCTGCTCAAGGCTACAAAGTTTCAATTATAGAAGATAAACAAACCCCAGACACCAGGCCTCCACTTGGGTTGCCTGGGGATGTGGTTGGCCTGCAAACCACCACAGGCCCCTCACCCAGGCTGTTCCAAGCCCCAATGGAACCCCACCCTGATCTGGGATATCCTTCAAGGCAAACTATTAATAGCTGGCCCCCACCTGTGTACCAGGCCTCTATCCTATCTAATCCTATCTAATAAAGGAGTGATATGCAAATTGACCATCACCCCAACACACAAAATGGCTGCCCCCATTTGGTCAAAGATGACTGCCCCCAAGTGGACACAAGATGGCCACCACAAGATGGCCAGCATGGGAGGGCAGTTGAGAGAGACCAGGCCTGCAAGGGAGGGCAGTTGGGGGCAATCAAACCTGCAGGGGAGGGCAGTTAGGGGTAACCAGCTCCCAAATACTCCCATCACTGGACTATACTCAGTACCTGCAATTCAGTATTAAAACTCAAAGACAATCCTCAGGGTGGGAAAAGAAGGCAGGTACTATCTAGACAGGGACATGGAAAGCTTACAAGGATATATAAATATTCCACATCTTCCTAGAGGTCTAGGTTACACAACAAACAGTACATTTACAATTTGTACATTTTACTGTATGTAAATTTTACCTAAAAAAATCAAACAAATACTCAACTCTAGTTAAAGACATTAAAGCTGATTTTAGAAAGTGTGTTGATGTCTTCAACTTAATTTTGAAATGCATTTAATAATAAAATGAGATGAAGGATAAGATAGAAGGATGGATAGGTGAATCCATTTGATATAATTTACCAAATATAATAAAATATTATTTATAGAATTTAGGTGGTAGGTTTATAGGTATTCACTGTCCAATTATTTCAACTTTACTGAATTTTTTTTACAATAAAATGCTGTGGGGAAATCACAGGCAATGGAATCAAAGCTGAATAATAACAATAACAACAATGATAGCTACTGATTACTGAGCCCTAGTTTACAACCATTACATCACTTAAGCCTCAAACAATCTTATCAGATGTATTATTATCCAGTATTTCACATGAAGAAACTGATTCTTAGGTTAAATCACTTTATTCAAGGTCATCCAGCAAGTAAATGGTCGGACCTAAGTTCAACACCAGATGTCTCTGGTTATGAAATATACATCTTACTCATCATGTTACACAGCTTAGGTTGTATACCCTATAAAACTGTCAAGAGCCCCAATGGCAAGAAAAACACATTATGTTTCCATCTTCTATTAACACCTTCACACAAATTCAGTGATCTGGTCTTTTCTCATTTCAGATAAAAAACATATATAACAGGTAAGTTCTGACAAAAATAAATAAATAAATAAATAAATAAATATATGAATCCTGAAAAGAAGAAGCCTGGAAAAAAGGAACTCAGTTACTTCACTTTAGAGAGAGATTCTGGGCAGGAGGAGCAACCAGAGTTGGTCTGGGCATATGCTCCCAGTCAGGAAAGGAGGACACTGAGAAAGAAGTAGCCACAAGCAAACAGTCTCTCAGCACAGTTCTGCCTATGACCAGTTTCCAGTTACACTTTCCTGGAAACCTGAAACAGAGAAAATTAATTACACAAAAAATTAAATGCCTCTCTGCAAATGTATTCAGCACAATATTTCTATGAAATGTTAAATGATAGTGCGTGATATAAAAGGTTTTAGAAAATTTTAGAAAATGTACTAGCAAATGTGAAGTTCTCTTGACTGTAGGATTTCTCTGAGTCTGTGACATGCTTAATTACAATGTGACTTGCCAAAAAAGAGATAGAGTATGCATTTTCCCCATAAGTTTTCTATAATATTGATTATGAAAAGAGTCAGAAATTAACATGTCCAAATAACTGGACATATTGTACTTTAAAACAGTAACTGTGAAGTCATACACCAAGGTTTAAGGTATGTTATACATAAAGAAATGAGTTATGCTAAACTGAGAGCCTCATAAAACTACTGAGCCTAAAATAATAAGTAAATGCAAGATTAAGAAAAAAGGCAAAACAGTGTTTTACTATCCTGACAACTCTCAATCATTCATGGCAAGTAAAAAACATACCTAATTGTATAGCACTTTTCTTAGAAAATGTTCCTAAGAAATATAAGAATCAGAAATAACCAAGAAAATATGGAAATCAAGAATCAATCACAGAATTCATTCAACTGCCTATTTCCAACAGTTGATCAGCATTCTTTCCTGTATGTGGACACCAATAGTGGATCCAGCTCTTTCAAAATGCAGCACAAAACTACAGAGTAGACACATAGAATGTAGAGAAGAGCATTATGTCCAAGCACAGCATGGTAGATGAGGCAGGGTGACAATGGAAGCTGGGCAGGGGGAATGGGGTGCCGATGTGTAGCAGTAAGTGGCCTCAAACTCTAGAAAAGAATAGTCCCAAGTGAGCGTGACTCACATGTTGGCATCAGATCCCCTCTCAGCACTAGAACACTGGGCCTCTGTCAGGCGAAGAAAAGGAGTTCCCGTGAATAGCCATCTCTACAAATAGCAGTTATCCTTAAAAGACACAAGTAAGGCTCGGGACTGGCACAGCTTGACAATACTTAGGGTTTCAGCAACCCCCGTTACACAAAGAGAAAGATCATGGTCTTAAACTTGGCCTCTGATAGTAGAAATTCCATGTCCAGCTTGCTGTCCACTTTGAAGTCGGAGCACCCTTGAAGTACTCGGTCCACTTCTGAGCATCACACTTTAAGAAGGACACTCACTAACATGAGAAAGTCCAGAGAAAAACAATCAGGATGGGAAGTTGAGGGAAACTGAAGAAACCCTACAGTTGTTCATCTGTATCATTTTCAATCTTTCATTATTACAAATAAGGTTACAATAAACATACTCAGGGATAAATGTTTACATATATCCTTAATTCTTTTCTTGAGATAAATTCTTAGAGAAAGTACTGGTTCAAAGGAAATAAACATCTTTAGGGCCTTTGCAACATCCTATCACATTACCTTTTAGAAAGGAAGTACCCATTTATAATTCTACTAATATGCTAGTAGAAGACAAAAAACAAACAAAAAACAAAAAAAAAAAACAAAATTTTTTTGGAAAAATGTTTGCAAATTCACTAAGGGAATTTTGTTATTATAAGTGATTCAAAAGTTCTTTTCTATCTCAAAGAAACTGTGAGTTCAAGCATCATTCTCTAGCGCACGCACACACACACACACACACACACACCAAAAAAAAAACAAAAAAACAAAAAAAACACCAGAATATCTACATATCTCTATGCCTTTCCTTAACAATTTTGGTAGCAAAAGCTGAAACCGGTTTGGCTCAGCGGTAGAGCGTCGGTCTGCGGACTGAAAGGTCCCAGGTTCGATTCCGGTCAAGGGCATTTACATTGGTTGCGGGCACAACCCCAGTGGGGAGTGTACAGGAGGCAGCTGGTTGATGTTTCTCTCTCATCAACGTTTCTAGCTCTCTCTCTCTCTCCCTTCCTCTCTGTAAGAAAAATCAATAAAATATTTAAAAAAAAAAAATTTTGGTAGCAAAAAGTAAATAAAGCTTTCCAAAAAAAATAGTGAAGTCATACCGGCAAAACCTCAACATTAATCCCATACTTGGTCAAAGACTGTAGTAATTCAAAAAGAGATATTCATATACTTTTATTTTATTAAAGATTTATAGAATGAACAAAACACTATATAAAGGTTGAACCCTATAAAATTGCCATGTTTATAAGTCAAACACAGTCAAATATTGGCATATTTGGTTCAATCTCATATAAGACTTCAACTTAAGCATGATAATTTGTAGATATTACCCACTTGATAAGGGCAAGCACTTAGTCTGTGGATTGTTGCCTTGAAGGCTGTGATCTAATCAGACAATAAGGACAGAGTCGCTGCCAACCACTTCCATCCAAAATACCCAACACCAATATAACGCCTGTACCATATTTACTATATATTTTATGGACACTAACAAATACTGTCTTCTGAACTATTTCTACATGAGGTACTGCGTAAGGCCATAAACTCATTCATATGGGAATAGCTGAGGCTGAGGCTGCTAGTATAATTATTGAATGTTTCTTGAGGTCAGTACTTTCCCTAAAATGATCCAGGAAGAAACATATAATGACAGTCTGCAGGAAGAAACAAGCTCAGAATTTAAATTTCAGTTTGGCTCTGTCTAGTCTGGCTCAGTAGATAGATGGTCGGCCTGAGGAATAAAGGGTCCCAGGTTCAATACTGGTCAAGGGCACATGCCTGGGTTGTGGCTGGCTCCCCACTGGGGGGCGTGCAGGAGGCAGCCCATCAATAATTCTCTCTCATTGTTGATGTTTCTAGCTCTCTATCTCTCTCCCTTCCTCTCTGAAATCAACCAAAAAAATAAATGTTTTTAAAAAATCAATTCTGAACCCAGATTTTGGCCACAAAATCCTGGTATTACATAGTAATAAAAATAGTTGTTCCTTTGCTCTAGCATTGACTTAGTGCTTACTATATACCTG